AGGCGTTTGGGACGAATTCAACTATCGTCTCGATGTTGTCCGTACAGCAGGTGGAGAGCACATAGAGCATTTATAAAATGGTTAGTAAAACTTGATAATTCATTAAACCGTTTGTAACTTTTTGTGTAATTGTAACATGTTGCCATCGTGAAATATACTGCTTTGAAATTGAGTCCATCTTCTTGAAACACCCTGTATATACGAATAGGAAAACACCGATTTTACACAAGCGTTTCGATTAATTAACAATCAACATTAATGGGGATCAAATGCATCATAACCTTTATACTGCACGATATAAAGAACACTGCATAGTGCTGTACGTTGTACTATATAGATATATTCCTTTATCCTCCATGTGCTAACCTCCTGAAAGGCTTTTGGATTTAAAGCTTTCGTGACTGCTGGGATTCATCTTCTTGGTTCTTTCGGTAAAGTTACGTAGAATGGAAATAAAATAATAAAAATAAAACATAATAAAATAAAATTCTCACGACGTTTCGGCCACAACACAAGTTTCGTCGTGATAATTTTATTGTTTTATATTTTTATTATTTTGTTTCCCTTCTACGTGACTTTACCGAAAGAACCAAGAATACAAGTAGCCTTCTTCAGGTGAAGAAACAGGACTGTCCAGAAGACAGCGCTTGAGTGAACACTGCCAAGCATGGACCGCGTCTTTTAAGCTGTGTGGGCGGAATTAACATATGAATTAGCATGTTACCCAGCTAAAAGACGCAGTCCATGCTTGGCAGTGTTCACTCAAGCGCTGTCTTCTGGACAGTCCTGTTTCTTCACCTGAAGAAGGCTACTTGTGTTGTGGCCGAAACGTCGTGAGAATTTTATTTTATTATGTTTTATTTTTATTGTTTTATTTCCATTCTACGTGGTGACTTTACCGAAAGAACCAAGAAGATGAACTCCTGAAAGGCCTTATGCAATTGCAAAAAAAAAACGACCTATATATTACAAAACTATTTCACACAGCCAATGGAATTTACATGCCGGCAAGGATGACAATTGTAAATTGTGCACCTGCAAGCTCTGTTCTAATTTATTGTGTTTTTTTTTAAAACCCTATGCTTGCGACGATAGTTTTAACATCTGATGCTTATGGCATGCAATGTTAACTGCAAATATGCAGTGCATTAACTTGCGATTAGTCAACTGCTGCATGTTTATCGAGTTCAAGCACGGGCAATTTATTCTTAATTAGTTTAATAGGAGCTGATCATTAATCATGATGATACATGCTTAGGAGATGCTCCCGATATCAACGTTAGCATCCACATGTTACACGGTAAAAAAAATGACCGTGGAGACCAATGCTACCAAGGATTAAGACAATAGGGATTTAACTTTTAAAAAATGGCTGCATCTGTAATACAACATGGGTTTACTGACATTAAATTAAGACTGGCAAGTGACAAAATATCACATTATGCAAACGAGCACAATAATAAAAAATATATAGAATTAGAGGGCAGAAATGCATTAAAATTATTAATTCATCTTGCCCACTCGCATTTATGCCACGTAAACTTACCCTTTAAAATATACGTACTGTATAGTAAAATAAAATTAAGGTACAGTACTAATTTTGGAATTTGTACGCAAACAATAACCCCACAACCATTGAAGTACTGCATGGCTGCAAATATTTTAGCTCCCATTCTCACTATAAAACCCCTACCCTCGGTATCGTGACGTGCGATATTGTTGCACAATAACATTGTCAGCGTTAATTCACGACTGATGTAAAAAAGTTAGAAGAATAAAAAAAATGGGAAAAGACACGAACATGCCACCGTCATTTCAGCTCTGAGTGCAAAGTTATCAATGGAGTAAATTTTGACGAAATCCCAATTACATGTGGCAGTGCAGGGACGTGCTTGCTGGTGTCTTGTTCCACATTGTGCTTTTACCCTCTCAAGGGACACTGATGAAACTTCAATGATGTGAATTTCTCATATGAGCACACCTATATGAGTTCAAGATGTGTGGGGTGGGGGAACAACGAGCGGCATTTGTATGGCCGTGTATTTATACCCAAGAATGACTGATTGTCAGCGATTCTGAGCCAGGAACCCTTTAATGTGAACATAATTAAACACTACATTTCATACATGGTAGCAGGGACTGGTTACTTCCAATGCTAAGTACTACGCGACTGAGATATGTGTGGAACTATAACTATATAAAATTTGTAACACCGTATATGTGATTGTCCCTCGTCTGTAAATGAGCATTGGGCAATGTTTTTGCTTACATCTTATGGCAGTGCTTAGCAAGTGGAGTGAATTCCGTGTTTCTATGGCAGGACTTCGTCTTTGCACAGCACAACTATTGTTGATTTTCCACAAAGTAGCGGTCTAAATTGTATCATCAATCCACCGGTGAATGAAAGCCTCTCTAAGCTGCGGCCTCCCAATCCTGTGATGTAATAACAGTACTGTAGGCTTATTTTGCTGACTAAAACTAAGTGGCGAGATCAGAATTGGGACTCGGAGACAAAGCTTTAGTCGCACTTATCCAAAATGTGTTTATTTTACTGCCTTAATAGGTGCTCGTAAGTCGTAAAATCACCTGCATAACTGAACAATTTAGTCTAAACAGGGGATTGGTTGTGGATGTGTATGAAAAGGTCCCAATGCCAATTATTGACACCACGGTCTCCACGAGAACCTGCAACAATGCTGCACACCCGACCTCCCAAGATCTGCTGTTACTCCCATCAACACGCGCCGTCTGGCTTGAGGTCTTCTCATTAAGTCACCGTCTCCCCATCCTTCAAAGACTACTTTTGTACAGTCCATCATAGTGGCTTTAGGGCTTTCTTTCTCACAGACTCTCTTGCCTCCTCCTCCTCCCGATGGCTCTCATAATCTGCCCTGTCCACAATTCTGCACGCGTGTCCTACTCATTCACAGCACAACGACCTCACAATAACATCTGCAAAACCTTCCTGCCACATCCTATTCCAAACTTACAAGCTGCTTCGTCTGCGGTCACTTCTACAGCACAGTGACTCGAGGGGTGGAGAGATGCATCGATTGATATCAATTAATCTAACGACACGTGCAAACGCATTGGGTGTGCAAAAATCAATGGTTTTTCAATTCACGCGTTACGCTTAATGGAAGCAACTAAAGGTGCTATCATTCAATGCGATATTTATTCTTGTTTTAATCGCCCAACTAAGGGGCGGTCCATAAATGACATCACGCGATTTTTCACCCCCCCCCCTCGTCACACGGCGTCACAAAAAGTCAGACCCCCCCCCCTCAAATATGACGTCACAAAGCTCTGCCCCCCCCCCAAAATATAAAACATGCTTCAAATCGCTTTAAACTATTGTCATTGTAGTGCGTATTTAATGTGGCGCTGCACTCTGATGTTGTAGGAGAAAACATTTATTAAAAAGTCTATTTAATTAAGTAGAACGTGTTGTCTATATTTATTTAAAGTTGCGCATTTTGATGTGACGTCACATTTCTCAAACCACCCATCGTCACAAATGTCTAACCCCCCCCTCCCCCTCTAGGTGCGTGACGTCATTTATGGACGGCCCCTAACTACATTTGTCAAATATTATTGGTTCTTTCGGTAAAGTCACGTAGAAGGGAAACAATAAAAATATAAAACAATAAAATTCTCACGACGTTTCGACTGCAACACAAGCAGCAATCATCATCAGGTGCGAAAACCACACCAAGAAAATTTGAAAAAAAGTGGCGTTTTTATTTTTAACGTCAGCACCACGGAGAGCGATTTGAGAGTTTGTTCAGATGGATGAGTCCATCTATGTTCGGAAAAGAGGAGGGGGGAGACGAAAAATAACATTTGTCAAACTTTCAAACCTTCTCTGGGGGGTTGCAAGGTGGCTATAGAGCACGACAGAGCAAAAAAGGGCTTAGGGAACCCGTCTGCTGTATGGCTCCAACGAAAGACTTAGTGAGGTTTCCCCAAGATAAATATACCCAAACCTCAGGGTATTACCCCGTTACTCCCATTTACAGGACCACTTCATAATACAAAAAAAGGTCCCTTGAAACTTTCTTAAGACACATCAGGAATTGTCATTCGATCTGGGCTAAAGGACAACTTTCTTTCTCTTTGAGTATGGATCCTAGCAGTCACGAAAGCTTTAAATCTAGAATTGACAACTTTCTTCGTTGGCAAAAAGCGAGTCAACCTCGCTCCACCACAAACTATGAAACCACGCAATGTGTATTGTGGTACAGTACTCAAGTTTAATTGTGTAACCTGTCGTGGACAAGACCGCGACGGCCTGGAGAAATGCCTTCATCCAGCAGCGGATGGCCATGGCTGATTGTGACAATGATGATGACGAATGACATATTTATGACACTCGGGTGACAACTACAAAGACAAAGATTCCCCCCACCCCGTGTAGCCTTGTAAGACTGTTCGGGCAAGTGCTGTCGGCGAGTAGCAGCACCTATGAAGGCTACCCGGCACTGTGGCACACGAACGGGTGGGTGGCCACCACCACCACGCCCGGCCGCCTTCGTCTCCCCAAGTGGCGATGTTTTAAAACACCGCTGTACCAGCTCTACCTATTTGAGGCGGTATCGACTCATGGGTGAGGTGTTGGGAGGCCGTGAGCGGGAGTCGAACTCGGCCTGCCGGGTTCGTGGCGTGTCGCTCACCGCTCCCCCCAGCGCCGCCGCAGCGAGCACGCCGCGCACTGTACGCGTTTCCGGGTCTACCCCCGACGACCCTCGGTCGCTCTCGCACCACAAGAAACAACAAACACACACACAAGCTATCGGTAAAAGTAGCGCTGACGTGGCCGCGAACACAGCCACGTTTGGCGATAAACACCCCCCAAAAAAACACAAGGGCCGGACGCTTAAATCGCTTGCCCAGCGAATGGCCAATTTGAAACTCGACTCGCCACACGCACGTGCACTGTACGTGTATACACGCGGCGAGGTGGTGGTGGTGATGATCATGATGCGTGGTGCTATCGTTACCGCTGCGGCTCTCCTTCTTGTTATTGTTGTTGAACCCACAAGCGCAGAAACCCATCGGCGGTTTATCGGCCACCGCACAGCTTAGCCCGGTAAACAACTTTGCTGGAATAAGCTAAGGGTAACAACACAACACGCACGCACAGACACACACACAGACACACGCGCGTACACGCCGTGTCCAGAAGTGGTGGTGGGGTGGGGGGTGACGTGGAGACCCGCAGAGAGCCGCTCGCAAAACGCGGACTCGGCCATCGTCCTCGGTGACTGGCGACGGAGCGCGCGCGATCGTTCACGCTCGCGCTCTGCGTACGGGGGTGGGGTGGTGGGTGGGGGGAGGAGAGAAACTCCACGGCGCTCCGGAATCCGTGGTAGCGGCGTACTCCGTCTCGTATCTCGCGGCGCACAGAGTTAAAAGGACAGGTTGTGGACGCGGAAGGCGGGCGAATGGGTTTACCAACCGGTCGTGTTAACAATGGCAGGAATGGTTTTTTGCGATTGAGAGGCAATTGCTGATTATGATGAATGTTTTTTTTTGTATGATACAGCTGCTGTAATGTTAAATGTCCCCGGGTCTGAGCAGCGTAATATGAATACAACTTTGACGTTAGGAGAGCCCTGCAGTTTAACACGTAGGCTTTCGCGACCAATATCCATAATATATGGTTTTGTTTGTGGGGGTTAGATCGCGTAAACATAAATGCGTCGTTAAACCCGCCACAACATTTGCTCTCCGACACACCGCGGTGCTGCACTATTGTAGTGATATTAAATGGATCACTACGGCGCGTAGCGCCAAGTGGTGTGAAACAGGTGCAGAGGCGAACACACAATGCAGTACCACGCAGTAGGCCACTAGGGGCATGGTACTGGGTGCTCGCAGGAGGAATCCTGACGAGTCCTACCGACAGAGTACGCCACTGTAAGAGTGTGGTGGGGGGCGGCTGGTGGTAGGGGCTATGTGAGGACGTGTCATGTGGGCCAAAGGTGAACGAGGGGGCACGGGGGGGGAGGAGTAGCTGAGTACGTCTAGAGAATTCTCGATTGAGGCGTCGTTGAAGGTGGAGCCAGAGAGGGGACAGGTGCGGTGTAGCCTGGAACCGTCGGGAAGATTCTAGACGTAGGGCGCGGCCGAGGGTGGAGCCAGGTCGCGCCGAAAGGGATAAAAGGGAAGCCTCCCGATCACAGATCCGGGCTGTCTAGTGTGAAGAGGAACCCAAGTGCTACGTCTTCGACCCCGTCTTCGACATCGTGGGCAGGCAGCACATGGCTGCGCTGACCCGATTGTAGATTGTCCCGTAACAAAGTGAGAATAGGTGTGTTGTAGTCCTATGCGTAACAAGAGTGAGAATAGGTGTATTTAGACCCGTGTGTAACGGTGTTACGTAAGTGTGAAATAAATGTGGTTGCCTCCTAAATAGTGTTTCAGAATGACTCACTAAACTAGTAACAAATTGCCATTGTTCTGTATACTTGACAAACCTTACTAACTGGCTGTGTTGGGTGATGGCGGGTTTAACGACATTTATATGTACGCGATCTAACCCCAAAAAACCCCTATATTATAGAGCCTTTCAGATTCTGAAGAACATACAGTATATCATTGTGATAGAATAATTATGTCACTGACATTCAGAAGTCTCACTAAGCCATTGAACTCTTTTCCAGGAGGGTCAGTTCATTTGCAACGAGTGTTTTTAGTTGCACCCTCCGGACGAGACTTAAACAAATCAAAACTAAGCATACCATATATGCTACGGGAAGAGATTCATATGGTAACATTGGCCGATGGACAAATATGTTCCTTTATTTTCACAAGGGAAACAGACCACGGTACAGTATTACGCGCCAGTGCGGTTTAAGGGTCTCCGGTCGGAAGACCTGGGTCGAGTTAACAGCTCGCATTCTGGATCCATCCCTGAGTTCGAGCCAGTTTTTCAAGCCACTTAAAACAGTGTTTCTTTCCAAAGAGTTTACACGTGTGATGTGTGCGCATTGGTGATGGACTGGACTAATCAGGGTGCGCGATAAATAAAAAATGCTCAGACTTACGTCCTTCGTATAATTGCAGTAGGATGTTTGTCGAATTCCAGTTCAAGTGGTGTTTTTCACGTGGAGAGGAAACCAATTAACTTTGAGGACACACACCGTGCAAACAAGGTGACACTACTCATGCACGCAGGTTCTTGAACGCACTTGCTGTATTGCCATCTGCTGGATACCGTGCTGGTAGTGTTTCTGTTGTACAACGATGAGATAAGTGTCCCCTCACAGGAGTTTGTTGCTCTTTGTCATTACCTTGCTAGGTACATGACATACGTCACACTGATGAATAAACAGCAAATAATAATACTAATAATGTGGGTTGAATGTTTTTAACTAACACTGCTCATCGTTATGTGAAGGCTGACTTCTGCTATGGGAAGGTAGACATTTTAAGAATGCCGTTGGCAATGAGAACGGCCCGATTGCACATGTGAGCAGCGCTGCTGTGACAAATATGTACGCAAATGATCCTGATTCACACCCAGTACAAGTTCAATAAAAGTTTGAAAAATAAGAAGAGGTTTTACCCTTTCTGGCAATAAAACAGGTGTTAAGATATTCAAACACCAAATAGAAACCTTTTGCAAGGAAAAAAGTCTGCATTCACCACACGTACTTGTGATGAACATGCAAAAAACACATGTTCTGGAAATATATGCATTGTCTATGAAACTAATTGGCCTACACCAATCCTTGCAAAAAGTTTTCTATTTTGTGTTCGAAGATCTTAATACCTGTTTTATTGAAAAAGGGTAAAACCTATTCTTATTTTTTATACATAAAAGTTTGCCTTTTATAATTTAGTAGGTTATGTATTTTGGCCAGATTCCTCATCAAAATGAATTACCAATGTACACACATCCAAAACAGGACATGTGGCAACCCTACTACCAATATATCACTGCACACAATCTCGTTATTTACAGGTATCTAGGAAAGGTGTAGTTTAACTTTGAAAAACCCTCATATAAGGCGAGTTCTACATAGAAGCACTTCATGATAAGTATACATATAGTACAAAAATTGAGGTTTGCATTGTCAACTCTACAGAGAGTATTGATGAATGTGAGTTTTTTTAATTCTGCCAACCCAGTCTCACCAAATATTTTGTTTTATTTTACAGACTGTAGTAATACCTTTTACAGTTAAATAGAATACAGTGAGTGATATAATTTTGCCATTTTAATTGTCAAAATATATCCATTAACTTTTTCAAGATATTTATTTATCTGTGCATAATATTACGCGGTAACTTCTACTTATCATTACTACCTATCATCAACATACATATTCTTTGGTTCTTTCGGTAAAGTCACATAGATAGAAATAAAAGGGAGCACAGATCAAGTCATGACTTAATTTGTATCGTTTTATTGTTATCTTTCTTGTTATCTTACCCCAGGGCACATGTGCCCCGCCCACTTAGTTCAGACACTGACGTTTTGTGGCACTGCATGTTCCGTGCTTCACATTGGTGTTCTCTGACCCCAGGGCACATATGCCCCGCCCACTTCGTTGCGCCGCCGGAGTGCTTGTGCCACGCCCATTTTTGAAACCTTTATAAACGGTTGCCTTCGGTGACTTTCCCCCTCTTTCCTCCTGAAGACGATCACTTGTATTGTGATCGAAATGTCGTGTTTTTTGTTTATTTTATATTTAATTTTTATTACCAAAAGACCCAGGAATAAGTCAACATTATAGACTGCCAGTCCACTCACTCTTAAAAACCAGGCTACAGTCTACATTATAGACTGCCAGTACGCTCACTGAGGTTAAGAACTGGGTTACAGTCTACATTATAGACTGCCAGTACACTCTCCCAGCTTAATAACCATTGTATCAGTCTACATTATAGACTGCCAGTACACTTGTAGTGGGTTCAACTGAGTCACACTCTTAGACTTGGAGGCAGCGCATTTATTTAGTTCCAACACAATGGGGTGACTTCACTCTTAACAACACAACGACCTAGGGTGGTGACCACCATGGCTAACTACACTGGTTACTTGAGTAACTATTTACTATGGACCTGGGACCAACAACATACTGCCCGGGTCCATGAGCTCGAAGACTCGTAGAACGGAGATCGCAGACAAAGGGTTTCTTTCCCGGGACGGACAACCCCGATCCCTCTCGGGACTCGGCTTATATTCTCTGCGGCATGGCCGGCTCCACCCTTGGCCACGCCCCCCTTCCAGAACCATCGGGAAGAACCTGGGTTCCAATCACGTGACCCTCCTCGCCCCCTCTTGGGACCCCTGTCATTCAAATCGGTCACGTGTCCTTTCGAGTCATCCAAAGTGCCATGTCCTTACCCGACCTCTCTCTTAGGTTGGCACACACACGCCATGCCCTCGAGGACCGGCACTGCACTTACAGCATGGTGCCATCCAGCGATGTCGCTCCACGCACACCATGCCCCTTTAGTGCCGGTACTGCACCCACAGCATGGTGACATCCAGCGATGTCACTACACACTCACTCCGATTAAGAACCAGGCTACAGTCTACATTAGTGTTTTTTATATATTCGTAAAAAAATACTTTATTTTATTATTATTTTTCTATCTACGTGACTTTACTGAAAGAATGAGAGCATATTAATTCCTGCAGTCACGAAAGTTTTAAGTAAAACATTTACACATTTTTATTTATCAGAAATGTTTCAAAATTCAAACACGCATCTGAATTAGCACATCTAGATTATTTCGATTTAAAGCTTTCGTGACTGCAAGGATTCATCTTCTTTGGTTCTTTCGGTGAAGTCACGTAGAATGAGAATAAAATAATAAATTGAAATGTTATTTTATTTTATCAATTTATTATTTTATTCTCATTCTACGTGACTTTACCGAAAGAACCAAAGGAGATCTAGATTATTATTTATTATTTCACTTGTTAACCCAGGATGGCCTCACTGAGGCTCAAGACACTTTTTTGAGGAGGGTCCTGCAAGTTTCTGCATTGGGATATAGTGACCAATACTAGTAAAACTAAATAAAAATGTATTACGGGAGGAAACGGGCAAACCTGGTGAAACCCCATTCACAACTAGGGGAGAGACAACGTACAACCTCGACACAGAATGGTGCTTAAGTCAGGAATTGAATCCAGACCGTTCTTGCTGTGAGGCACAAGTGTTACCAACACACCACTCTGCCTCCCAACTATGCAAAAAAAATCCCTCTCTTTGCAGTGACAGAATAATTATCTTGATATA